AATATGTTATATTTTATTACACATATTTTCATGATACATTTTTAGCTACACTTATTAAGATAAAAGAATGCCATATGAGGGAATTTATAGTGAAATATATTGAACCACTTGAAATTCTCTGGAGAGGTAATTTAAGACATAGTCATTATATTTTCCTTTTCTAGAATTTTGAAAAATCATGCACAGCATTCTTCTGTACATTATATATATATTTTTTAAAGGAGAAAATTTGGGAGAGGATTCAGGAAGTGGAGAGGAGAAGGAAGGAATTTTACGTTTCATTGAGATACATGTAAAAGTCCTTTATTCTCCTTTCCCAGAACCCTGCAAACAAAAAAGCAAATTTCTGATGTGGCACCGCTTTCCATTTATTCATTCAATGACTATTTAGTGGATGTCCACTATGTGCCAGACACCAGGTTAGGTGCCAGGGAACAGAAACAACAAGGTCTGTGCTCTAGTGGGACTTGTGATGCAGAGAGAGTGAGGTGGGGAAATAAACAAGTAAACAAGACAATTTCAGACAGTGGGCATGTTAGGGTGGAGTAATTCCAGTGTTACAGCCTAGCCAGGTTCATTGCCCCTGCTCAAGAGGAAGCCAACACACTGAGACGGCAGGATTTACAGCAGAGAAAGAGTTTAACATCATAGCCATCATGCGAGGAGATGGGAGGAAGTTCTCAAAATCGTCTCCCTGAGAATTTGGGAGAAAGAGTTTTTATTTAAAGATAGTTTGGTGGGCAAAGGGCTAGGCAATTTGGTCTGCTGCTTGGCTGGGTTTGGGGTGGAACCATAGGGGTGTAGAATTTGTCTTCTTGTGCTGAGTCAGCTCCTAGGTGGGGGTTGCCAGACTAGCTGAGTTGATCCTTGGGATAGGCCACTGGTCTGGGTGGGTTAGCCCCCGTCCACTGGAATGCAGGCTCTGAAAGATATCTCAAAAACTAGCCTTAGGTTTCACAAGGCTGATGTTATCTATGGGAGTAATTAGGAAAGTTAAGAATCTCTATTACCATCAGCTGTGTGACTCTTGCAAGCAAACTAGGGGACAGTGGCTGTTATACATATATTTTTAACTATGCCTATACCTTTGCAGAGTTCAGACCCCTACCGCAGTTCCCACCCTGTGGCTTTCTATTAATTTTATAAAGGGCAGTTTCAACAGATTACATGCTGGAAAGAGTAGGCACTTTTTCCTGAGTAATCTGGAAAGATCTCCCTAGAGGTAATGTTTGAATTGAGCCCTCAATGGAGAGAAACACAGTTTTGTGAAGATCTGAGGGAACAGCATTCAAAGCAGAGGGAAGAGCTGGTGTGAAAGTCCTGAGGAGGAACATGGGACATAATTCGTTTTGAGGTCGTATCTTATATGAATAATCTTCGGATCACCATTTTTAAAAGTAGGCCTGAAGGACACTTGTCCTTTAAGAATCTCGGAGGAAAAGGATTCCATGGTGAATTGACTTTTAGAAATGGAGTAGGGCTAAGATGATGCCTGTTTGCATTTCTTAGCAAGCTCCATTGTGATGGAGCTTGGTGTCCTCAACTGTTCTGAACCCTGAATATGAGGCTCTGTGGGAGACTGTATTTTCCAAAGATGGTCATAGTAATATCTCCGATCCCACATTGCCTTCCTACAAAATTACCTTGACATTTACATTTTCACCTGTGGGGGTCTAGTTTCCCTCCCTTGAATCTGGGTGGGCTTGTGACTATACTAGAAGTCATCACATGTGACTTTAGAGGCCAGAACATAAAAGGCAATATAGCTTCCATATGGATCTGTTGGGATGCCAGCCGCCATGCTGTGAGGAAGCACAGGCAGCCACATGGAGTGGCTTCATGTAGGTGGTCTAATTGACAGCCCGGCTGAGGTTCTCACCAACAGATAGCATCCATCCCACATATGTGAGTAAAGGAACTTCATATGATTCCTGCTCCCACCTGTCAAGTCACCCCAGCCTTAGACTCTTCCAGCTGAGGCCCCAGACACCATGGAGCAGAGAGAAGCTGTATCCTCTATGCCCTTTCCCAACTCCTGACCTACGGAGTCTGTGCGCACATTAAATGGTTGCTGTTTTTCACTATCAAGTTTTGGGTAGTTTATTTCACAGTAGACAACTGGCATATGTTCTTATTGCCTTTATTGTCGGCGGTGGGCACTGGTAGTCTCAGGCAGGAGAGGATGCCACTCAAGTGCTAGCACCAGTGGGTTAAAAAAGTCAACCTGATGGGATCTCAGAACACAAGTCCTTTACCACTAAGATGAACAGGCAGGCTAGACTATTCAGGCCAAGCTGGGCCAAAAAGAGGCAAACAATTCTTCTTCTGCACAGTCCTGACTGGTAGACAACGAGCCAGTATCTGTGTGCCTGCACTCTCTACCCATTGGCCTTCATGCTGCCCTCCAGAATGTGACCCCTCTTCCATAAGACCCCTTCACAGAACTGAAGACAGGCATCATCTTTGTATGTTTGACATTCTTTGAGAGTAGTCTGCAAAGCTCCAGCTCGAAGGATTTGTTCAAGCTACTTTTGCCCATGCCTCAATGCCCCCATGCACGTGTAGCCTCCCAGCTATTACCCTCTTTGCCGTTCATGACATAGAGATTAATAGCATAGCCCAGGAGGTATTCTGCTGATTCAAATCCTTACTCAGCACCTTATTAGATCACGAGCACACTCTTAAAATGTCCAGGTTTCAAGTTCCTCATCTGTAAAACAGAGATGATGATAATGGTACATATGTCATGGAAATATTTTGAGAATTAAATGAGTTAATTTGTGAAAACACTTAACATAGTACCTGGCTCATAGTAGGCATTACAGTAAATATGTACATATGAAATATATAATAATATTTGAAGGGATATATGATAAATGTTAACAGTGCTTATCTTTGTGTTTTGAGTGTATGAATGGCTTTTTTTTATATACGTAATTGTATTTTCCAATTTCCCCGCAATGAAGATGTATTATATGTATACAAAATAGGGAGAAATAATCATCTGATCATTTTTACCTTCATTTTAAAATCTTCAAGCACTCTTTTGATTTTTTAAATTTGGTTTCTTTAAGTCTACCTCTTAAGAAGATAGAGGGGCAAAGTTAAATCCAGCTGAACAACTTAAAATAGCTATCAAAAGCAGTCTTGAAAGATTTTTTTTTCCCCCTGCAAAAAAAGAGGTGTGAATGAACAGGAAACAGCCCACTTGGTTTGTTTTAGTTTTTTCCTTTTTTTTAGAAACAGCTGACAGTACTGGGGCCTCCCTCAGTAACTGCTTTTTAAAGTCCCCAGTCCTTATTCCCACTCACTGCAGGGTGAGACGCTCAAGTCACCTGCCCACTGCAATTATCCTAATGGCTTTAACATCTAGTTTCCTGTGTACCTCAAAACCAGGAAAAGGGCACAGGATAATGGATGCAGATCGGTTCCTGGAAACATATCTCTCCTGTGACAAAATAAAATAATTTTCTGATTTAAAAATGTTTCTGAGAGTTTGCCTGGCATGAATAATCCCTGATAAACTGATAAAAAGCCTTTAAACAGTTAGTGAGTAAGTGTCCTAGGTTTAGTAGAGAGAAAGGGAAAAAAAAGATAGGGTCCTTGCCATAAAAGAGTTCAAAGTCTAGCTGGGGAAGATGGACATATAAATAAATAATTATAAAATTATATGAGAAAGGTCATAACAGATTTATGAACAAAGTGATATTAGCACTTAGAGATGGTAACTGAGTTAGTTGAGTTTTAGGGATGAATGGAAATTTGCTCCCTGACCATACAGAGCATTCCAGGAAGAGGAAATTGTACGTCACAGCTTGAAATAGCTAAGTGGGCAGAAAGATCAATTTCTGTCCTTGCAAAATTGAGACCAGACTTTACATAGAAAAAACTTCAAGGTACCACAGCCTGTTACAGGCATCGAGCATTTCCCATCAGGTTACCATGGTGAAAGCTTGTCAAGGAAGCAGGTTTAGAAAATTAAACAAGAGTTATTTGTAGAAAATTATCAGAGATCTCCAGGGTTTCATGAAACATTTACAAAAGAACTCAAGCCCTGCTTCAGCCAATGCTTCCCTTCCCTGAAAACCTTGCAAGTGTTACTTTTTGCTGAATGTGTTACTCAGCCGGCTGAAAGTTAATAATTTATGCAGCTCTGATATTTCCGGGAGAAAATGGAACCAATAATGGCAGGCAAAGCAGAGGCGCAGAGGGAGTCTACAATTTCTTTGGAGTTTCAAATTTTTTTTAGATGATCAACCTGAATAGTCCCCATACCTACTTCTGGTGTTCACCTTCCCCTTGCCTTTCTCTCCGTCTTTCCCTCCACCAGTTCTCCCAGATTTCTGGGTCTCCGGGCTTGGGAGCTGACCAGTTCCTCCACAGACCCGCCTTTCCCCCAACTCCCAGCTCCTGCTCCCGGAGCCTCTAGGTCTACTCGACCGCAGCTCGCAGGGCGCGGGGACCGGCCGAGCTCTGGCGGAGGAATGGGCGGAGGGGCGGGGCGGGCCGCGGCGGCGCAGGCGCACTGTGTTCGCCGCGCCGAACTGGAGCCATGGAGCAGGCACCCCTGGACCCTGAGCGGCAGCTGCAGCCTGCGCCCATTGAGCCGCTGGGCCTCCCCGACTCTGGGCTGGAGGCTGCGGTCGGTGAGGAAGCGGAGGGGGCCCGGGACGCGGGTTCTGGGGTCGACACGGTGAGGAGAAGTGGCAGCAGAGCCCTCGGGGCCTGTGTCGGGGCCTAGCGGGCCGGCCTGGGCTGAGCTGGCCTGCGCTGGCGGGGGCCGGTGGGCTCGGCCGGGGAGGCCCAGTGATGCGGGGGAAGCGAGGAGGAAAGGGGGGGCCGCAGGTGCAGTGGGGGATGGGATGGGTGGAGACTCAGTGAAAAAAGGGGGTCCGGGGTCGGGGGGCGAGCGCCGAGCGCTGCGGTTAGCCCAGGGAAGGGCCGAGAGGGCGGCGGCCAGGGGAGTGGGTGGGATGCGTGGGTGCGGTCCCGCGGGCACGGGAGACGGGCCCTGACCGGCGAGGCTGGAGGAGGGGCAGTTTTCAGTGGTCGGGTAACCAGGAGATCCGCAGCAGAAGAGGAACGCTGATGTTTCTGGCAGCACCGGGGTTTGCTAGGGAGATGTTTGAAAGGGGACACTGCGGGGTGGGGAGGCAGCGGTGTTTGACAACGAAGAGAATGGGGGACTAGAATGAGGAGCAAGTCTGGGGCAATGGGATAGCTGGCCTCAGGCTGCCATCAGGACATTGAAGATAGTGTCAGGTTCAAATGAAAAAACATTTTAAAAACTATTTGGCTGTAATTTTCTTATTTGGGGGGAAGTGCTATGTTTCTTATTGGAGGCTTTCTGTATCCCTTGTGCTTACTTCCTGAAGCCCCTTTGGTAATTAGGATTTTCATTTGCTGATGAGAAGGAGAAAAATGTATCATCGTATATTCGTAAGTGCTTTCATTTTAAAGTGTTTTTGTGTATAATGCAAGATTTGTAGACCAGGTTAAATTGAAGCATTTCACAAACTCAGTGTAGTGTTCCAGGTTGGAACACCTGCCCAAAGTCTCCTTCTGTGTGTATTGTTCATCCAGTTATTTTGCTCCTTTTTTTTTTTTTCTGAAACAGGTGTTAGGAGCAAAATTCAATAGTATTAATATTAACTTGCCCATCCTCGTGCTATATGGATAAAGAAAAATGCAAGTTGTTTGTTGAATGGAACTAGAAAGACT